CAAATTGTATTAACTTCATTACCTCATCTAATACATCTGAAACTCATACGCTATGTGTATGATGGCAATTTGAAGAGGGCAACAAAATTAAACACAGAAATAAGATGTCCATATACTATAGATATGGAAAATTATTTAGATTTACCCCTTGAATCGTCAAAAGGAAAACACGTATATAATTTATATGGAGTTCTGATACACAAAGGCCAAAGTACAAATGCTGGTCATTACATTACACACATTAAAGATCTCAAAACAGAAAAATGGTATGAAATGGACGATGCAAACGTGAAAATGTTGAATACTTACTATTCAAACAATGGAAAAACATTTAAGGGATTAACATCATACAAACATATCAACATTCTAAAGGACGAGTACAAAACAACTGATGCTTACATGCTAGTTTATGTAAGGGCTTCTACAGTAATGAAGCTAAAAACAGAATCAACAAACATTACATTATCACCACGGCTGACTAAATGTGTTAACACCTACAACAAAATGTATGAAAATAGATCAAGAATTGAAATTAAAAATCAAAAAAATGAGTTATTTTTATCAAATTTGATAAGCGAAATAAAATCTACTAAAGTACTCAACGACGATGGCGATGCTATTTCGTTAAATTGGATAATGTCATTGACAGAAGCAAGCCCTAATGAGAAAATCGATGAAATAAACAACAAATCGATAGTGTGTTCGCATAACAAACTGAATCCTAATGTATTATACTTAACCAAATACATCGGAACAGAACTGGCTGATAAACTGTATAGTTTATACCAAGGAGGTCCAAGACTTAGGTTAAAATCGTCATTGTGTGAGCCATGTGTTATAAATAGATATGCCATACTATGTATGAGTGACTTGACCAATGAACATAGACGAATAATATCAGATATTTCAGAATGTGACTCCACAAAGAATAATTCAGATGATAAAAATGACGTGCAGACATATTGGTTAGGAATAGAATCGTTTGAATGTTGGCAGACAAAATATTTGAAGATGTTTCATCGTTTCCTTAAATTTAATGATATACTGCCTAATTCAACATTGCCAATGGACCACGAAGAACTAATTTCCTCTTGTGTATCATTAATAGGAGTTTTAGACAATACCATGGTCCACGAGGATTTAATAGAAATTGATAGTGAAAAGGATGACGAGAAAATAAAATTATTTGAACTTGATAACAATATTAATGGGGTCGATTCTGAGGAAGGTATGAACGATTACTTGGAAATATTAGAAAATAAACGCACTTTCATAATGCTCAAACCGGATTCCGAAATGAATAGCATTAACAATTTGGAAGATATTTATATTGATGAACATTATAAGCCGTGGACATTAAATGAGGATATAACATGCCCACATGGTAATTTGAGTATAGCTAAAGAGACGATGAGGTTAGTCCCAGAAGAAATTAAAAATATATTAAAACTTTATTTTCCTAAAGCACAACTKTTTGGTAAAAACGCCAAACCATGTAGTCTGTGCAAAACACATTATAAAAATGTATACCTCCAAAAAATTATACATTCTATGGAAGGTGATTTACAGAAAACATTTTTAAAGAATTTGGTGTATAATAATTTAAGAATGGACTATGAAACGATTGAAAATCGTCTATACTTTTGCATTCCCAGAGACTTTCTTGAATCTTGGCGAAGATTTATAGCGTTTTCCTGGGCCGAAGCACCCAAGCCCAAATTAATAAACAAATCACTCCTTTGTAAAGATCACAGTGAATTACTATTTGARCCTAAGTCTAATTTTTTCTCAACAGATGAATGCGCATCAGTGATAATAACTAAAAATGAATGGTTAAGTCTGATAGATTATTATCAACCTGATTGTGGAATATTTGTGTATTTTGATGAAAACGGAAATCTTCGAAAGTCGATTCCAAAAGTATGCCAGACATGTACACTCGGTGAAGGTATACATTGCAATAAATATTTTAATGCGAAARTATTMATTAAAGTGTACGATGTCGAAGATCAAAGTTGCATGTATGGCAACTTTTCAAAGAAATTAAAACGAGACGCTACCGTACTTGTGAATGGCACAAGTGGCTCAGAAGTAGCCTCTACTTCATTCAACAACAAAGACAATTATGCAACTCATCACGGAGCCAGATGGAATAAACGAAAACTAATGTCAAATGTTGAATCCGTTGTAATTTCTTCCCACACAACCTTGCTTCATCTAAAATTAAAAATCATGGAAATATTTCATGTTAAGCCCAGGAATCAATATTTAGAAACTTCAGAAGGTGTTGAGTTGCTGAACAATGAAGCAACCATGGAAGACCTTAATATCCTTCCTGATTCAGTGATACTTGCCAGATTTGATGAAAACCTCATAATACA